GAGAGTATTTGCCGATGGCAAGAATGATGCATGTAAGAATGACAGTCTAGTGAAATTCACAGTGGATGCATTACAGTCTTGTGAAAATTCAGCGAGTTCACAAGTGGACCAGTTTGCCAGAGGCTTACACTGGTAGTATCCTGTGTCAAGGGAAGTCCACAAGTTATTAGAAAAAAGCTGGTTTATTGGCTTTACAGACCACCATCCTGAGCTATCACTTCCATCACCAGAAGTTTTGGACTCCGGGACAAAGATCAATGGAGCTCGAGGCATCTCTATACCGATGTCTTAAGGTCAGCTGTCAATAAAGCAGCCTCGGTGTCAACTGCACTTCCTGACAGAATTGTTTTAAGTGTCCTTAGTATCGTACCCTACTGCCACACCATGCAACACAAAGCAAAATGAAAAAAAAGGTAGGACAAATGTCTTTAGATGTACAGTACGGTCCACTGTTAAAGGGAACACTTTAATTAGAAACGTTCATATTGCCAGCCCTCTAACAGCAAGTGGATAATCAAACAATGTTCATGCATGGCACTAGTGTGACCTTTTAAAAGAAGTCTGAACTGTGATTCACCGGTAGCCTTGTGCAAATCTAAGCTAAGGTAGCCTTGTACATTATGCTTTTGCAAGAGAGTAAAATTCAAACATGCTGTGCACGTATGTCTTCCCTTTAACAGTGCTTCCGTTTGTACATTGAGGCAGCATACGATTCAGAGATTAGCACAACAAAGTCTTAAAAAATGAGTGCATGCAGTCAAGATTGCCACCATCATCTGTCAACAAAAGTATTGGCTGATGGACTGAAGTTCTTCAATTAAAGAAGACACACTTGCCATTGCCTTTGACGATTCTGACAATGAAATGACAGACTTTGATATTGATAGGCATCCCACAATTGTATGAATGGGCATCTTAACGTCTCAAGAGGTGATGTTTTTTTTCCTCAGAGTCAGTAAAAAAAATAAAGGTGTTTATTATGTCAAGAGAAGTAACAACATGTCAGTGAGCAGCTCCTGCGGAATAAAGCAAATATTTCTAAGTTTTACTTTCTGCCTAAGAAAGATATGAGGACTTCAGCAATCATCGACATTATGATCAAGCTACCAGAGTAAAAAATTATTGGGGCAGCAATGTTGGAGAGACCCTGTTTAGCATTTGAGGTTGAACTGTTGGCTTATATTGGTAATAGTACATTTGGACTGTTTTGTTGCATACATACCACTCCTCCCAAGTGATGTCCCAGATCATCCGCCTTCACAGAGGCGGATGGAAAGGGACAGATTTTAGCTATAATAAACTATTTTTTTACAGCTGCACCAGCAACGACAGAAACCAGTGTGTCTCTAAAGTTCAGAAACTTTAGACATGTATCATAATCCACCAAACATTGTTCTGCATTCAAGTTCAACAGAACTAAAAATATACACTCAAACCTCGATACAATGAACCCAGATAGAACGACATATTGGTTATAACAATGTAAATGAAAAATACTACTGTAATAGATGTAGTATTAGGAATAAACCCTTATAATTTTCAGATATAACAAACTTATTTTTGTGTAAGATGGAATTTTGTTGCACTGAGGTCTGAGCGTAATTATAAAAAGTGTCCCAATCCTCCATACTTTCCTATGTTAACTTGTGCTAAGTAGTGATAATGTTTGCGGTTTGCAAGGCCTTTTTCTAAAGTTTCATGTCTAGAAGTATTCATTTGCATCAGGTTTTTCAAAAATGTGCTATTTCAGGCAGCATGTATTTTTTAGCCTTCATTATTCCTGACAGTATACATTTTGAGATACAAAACTTTGCCACGCTTCATATATTTTATGACATTTATTGTGGAAGCCAGTCCTAGCTTCTCTTTTTTGCCTGCCATTATCAAGAAGCATACAGTGTACCCATTCTGTCTCCATGGAGCCTATTTTTTTCACCTTTTCCTTGGCCTCACATGCAATTCCCTACCGGAACACCGGCGAGAGTGAAACGTGATGCTTCATAGACGACATGGACACTAGCATTGACGCACCGTGCATCTATGAGCTGGTGCTCAAGGTCTTCTTACGACATAACTACACCCTTTCCTCCAGCACATGCATCAATTCTCTTCAGTTTAGTAACTGACCTCTTACGAAGCATGGATGAATTAGAAATGACAAGACAGAAGAACAACTGTAAAAAGTTAACAGTGTGCAACACTATATTACAGAAGCTGCAATAAGCATTCACAAAAGCCTCCAGCCTTCTCTCTACTGTGCAGCCACAGATGTTCGTTGTAGCTTGAGTAAACTTGCGTTATTGTGTTACGGCAATAAAATTTTGAAAGAAAGTAACATAAAAGGAATAGCGTACACTCTTCATTTGAATTGCTCAAGTATTTTTCTGAGGATGTATTTAACCAATGAAATAAATAACATTTTAACCTCTTAACTGCTCATTTTTTTTTGAAAATTTCCAGTCAAAAGTGCCTATTTTTTTTATTGCAGGTTTCGATTCTGGTTGCACTAAAAGTAGGCGGTCAATGTTGAAAAAATATTTTCACCACACACTTAGTCAAATCAATGAAATTAAATTTACTTCTGAAAAATACATAGGAAACGAGGTATCTTCTGCTAATAAGATTAAAAACCTACAAACAGAACAGTTACTGATGCCACATCTTTCTTCACTTTTGTAGGCTAAGCACCCTTAGTGTATTTCACTCAGGAAGCTTTGAAGCTGTGCGGAAAATTTCAAAACGCAGAATAACGCAAGGCTGCTTCACTGGTGGGCACTCGCAATGTTCGTGTGCGAGCTGTCTTTATCATCACTGGAGGAGCTACTCATTCACCGTCATCACTGTCTTCCCTTCTGGACACAAGATAAATATCCGTACTCGAATTATCATCATTCAAACAAGATGACGAAAATGAATAGCTTCTTTTTTGTGTTCATGGGTCAACTATATGAATAAGTCGCCACCACTGCACGCTGTTCTTTCATACAAAAACTGCGCTCCTGCCGCAGGAGAAAACTAAATTTTCGAGAAAATGCAGCCATCTAGTGGATGACATGCGATCCAACCCATAAATGCGCAGTTCTACGGCTGAACGCTAGAGGGGAGTACCTATTTCACTAGGACGGGCTCTACTCGTCCGAAGCAGTTTGGTGACAGTTTGGGGAAGACGAGCTCTGCTCGTCCAAAGCAGCTAAGGGGTTAAAGGAGCACTGACATCAAATTTACTCATGCCAAGATTTTTGCATCAGCAAGTAGCTATAGATCTCATAGCAGCGATTCGCGACCTAACACGCAACTGAGGGATGAATCACTTTTATTGATTTATATCACTGGTATCTAGCACTATTCAAAACGGCCGGCAATCCTGCCATTTCTAGCACTGGGAGCACCTGCAGTGGCACTACCTCGCTGTCACCTCTAGATCACGCCACAGCTGACCACTTCTCCCAAGAAAAGAGTGACGTCAGGCTCTGCTGCTCCGCAAACATTTCGTCTGCTAGGCGGACACATTCAGTCATGCCTTGTCACCTGCATTGCTGTCGTCGCCGTACAAAGTGTCGACTCTGGTTATATACGATAGTCTGGAGCTTGGAATACCCGCGATTCGCGACATCGCGAATTATTTTTGCTTCGATCGACCTTTTGCAGAACAGTGATTCCGCAATGGACGCTGTTCTAAGCAGCACTGCAGAGGTGCCCGAGGATACACGCTTTAGCCATTTTCGCTCGTGTGTCTTAAAGAGCTATATTGGTGTGTTTTGGCGTGCAAAGCATTCAGGTATATGCAGACGGGTCAATGCAATATAGCTATCGCGAATGAGCATCGGCGGAGAAATAGAATACGTTTCCTGCTTGCCAGGTTCTTTTTTGTGCCTCCAGATGGCCCCACCTATCTAGCCTCTCGTGGTTAACACGATATTACCACATTTACGTGGACGTGAAGTCTACAGATGAACTAAAATTCAACAATCCCTGCGTGTTACTTGTTAGCGATGATATGACCATACGCTGTTTCACTTTTGATAGCTTGTGGTCATGTTGATGTGTAACACATACCTGATATGAAAAGACACTCTGATTGCGGTTTTTCCGTGCTTCGAACTAGACGACTGCAGCTCACAACGATTACACGACATGCTGACCGACAAGCACATGTTTAATCATGCTCTTTTCTTTAGCCGTTCTTTTAAATCATTAAATCCAGTGCGACGAAGATCAGATGCGACGAGTGAGTGAGTTTCTGGGCTTTGGCAACACAATAAGAACACTCAGATCGTACAGGTCATCGCTATTAGCATATCGTCACTCAGGATGGTATTTGTGGAATGTATCACACTGAACACGTAGCACTAGCGTCGATGTCACAGGGCAGTCTATGTTTCGTTTTTTTTCTTTAGCTTTTCTACGCTGTTTGACATCGAATTAAAATAACTTCCATGCGACGGATGCCGTTCAAATTTAGCCAAGAAGACCTATGCATACCAAGCGATCCAATGATGGGCATATCTCGATCTTGAAATTTGATGTCAGTGCTCCTTTAACAAAAGCAATTGTAAATTTAATCAGTTATTTTCTGTAACATGTACAAAGTTTGGTAACAGCCCATTTACGAGGCACTATTGCTTTCAACTGTTTTCAATTGAAGCTTACAAAATAACCTTTTCATTTCACTGAATTTTGCTAACATTGTGCAAATGGGTGGCCAACGAAAGTTATCACCCGCCTTCCACTCATCAAGCACTTTCATTTTGGCGAGTTGCATTTCTACAGAATCCCCTGCATTTTATTGCCAGCATTTGAAAGAAGCATTTATGCATCATGAACTGACGAACATTTACCCCCAGCGAAAGACATATACGAGAAAACGTACAATGAGCACTTTGATCAACATTCTCAAAGAACTATAGCCTACATTATTAAACTAAAAATCATGCGTGGGCCTTTAAACAGCATTGGTGTATTATTTTAGCAGATATTGGCAGTACGTATAGCCAGCACAATAAAGACACAGCTCTTTTTTTATTATTTTATGCAAAGAAAGCAACATTACAGGTGCCAGGCAGGTCACGAGGACTTCCTACAGTTTGAAAACATCTTGCACAATACAACTAAGAGAGCTGAACAATCAGTTTAATTTCAGCAAAAGAAAAAAGTTATAAAGTATAAAATTTAATTAATTTCAGAGGCTTACGAGCCAGAACCATTACCTTACTATGAGGCATGCTTTAGTGGGAGCTTCGTGTTATTCTAAACCACTGAAGTTTTTTGTTTAATTAATACACTTCATATGCACTGTAGACATGTGCTGTTGTCTTGTACCCTTCATAAATATAATGAATATGAGAAACAATTTTGAAATGTTTTCATTTATTTAATTCACACAGCTGCTGGTGTGTGTGTGCCAAGCCTTTAGCAACTACACAAGAAACTGTGTACAACCTCTTTCAAGTGCTTGGAAAACTGGCACATTGATTTGTACGTCTTTAATCAATATAGACATATACATTGCTACAGTGTCCTCTACTGTCTCTTCAACAACAAGCATCCTACAAAAAAACCACATGCTTGGCATCGTTGGCTATACAAGGCAAAAAAGTAAATCAAGTCAATAATAACATGCATCAATATTTCATCGATGTATCATTATAAATTCAATGTCAGTCGAATTGCACTAAATCAGAGCCGCACATTACATGGCAAGCTCCTTATTACGATTTCATTACCCGCAGTGCTAATCTGCACAAAGCCTCGGGACCACAAATGAAAAAAAAAAAAGCTCAATACATGACTTCTGTTAAAAATACAACAGTGAAAATTGTGCGAATACTTCGCCTGCCCCTCCATTGGTAAAAATGTGCGTGGAAAAAAGAACTAGCACAACATCATTAATACAGAAAAGTTGCTATCTCTCGGGCTTTTAGAAGGCCAGGCCTATGCAGCAGCATCCTAGGCGAGAGTTGCTTGTGCGTATGTCAAGCTTTACATAAGCTACAAAAAGTGCTGCAAAAGTGCTGATGTATGTGCATAAGATGCTGGATGCATACTGTCGAAACACACGCACACAGGAAAAGTGAACTGTACAAAACAGACATTCAGTCCTGGCATGTGCGCTTTGTTTACAACTTCGACCAGCTTCATGGCCAAGTTCGTTGGTTCACGACAATATGATGCCCCCTCCAGAATGCTCAATCCTCTGAAAGAGAAAACACGCAGACCATCACACACTGCCTGATAACTACACTAATTTGAGTTTTTTTTAAGCAAAATTTACAGAATATGGTACTAAATGCTCTAGAGCAAGAATAAACTAAGATTTTGCACATTCATTATTAATTTGAGTTTTGTTAACAAAATTAACTGAATACGGTACTAAATGCCCCAGAGCAAGAATTAACAGATTTTGCACATTCATTATCAATTGTTGGGACAACCGCATTTTTAATAGTTGTGCAACAAGCTAATAATAAATAATACTGTTACGAGTAACTTGTTTAATAATCTATTTACAGCGCACAGAACTCGACGAGCAAGATGGCGCCAGTCCAGCATCAAACGAAAACTCACTTCGTCCTCCTCTTTCATGCAGCCGTGTTTAGCGGCTGTTATGTATCAATATGGTTGAATTCTCAATAAATTATGGTAAATACTTGCTATATTTACTGAAGTGTAAAGTTCCTTGAAAACTTGAACATATGGTTTTTATTAAGAAAAAAATGCAACAATTCTTAATATACATCCTTTTAATATGAGCATAAAGCCATTTATTACCATGCACAAATGAGATGCCAACTAGTATGCTTTTGCATGTAAATTGTTCACAATAGCATAAGCCCGACAGAAATTTTTTTTTCCCGAAATGCCAGTCAAATACAATTTCGCACTGCTGGATTCTTTTACAGCCTGCACAATTTCTACAATAAAGTGGAGAGTGCCTCAAATGGATTATACCACAAGCAGCAATCAATCAAAGTTATCTTGACTTCCTTGCACTTCGTAATTATGTACCAACCATTGCCTTCCACAGACACCAGGTGCAATAACCATGACTATGAAAGAATCTACTGGACCTTTTATAGCCTTTCTTGGAGCATCATTTTAAAAGGTTTTTTTTTTAGACCCCCCAAACAAAATCGGTAATTCGTAGAGTAGACTGAAGCGATTACGGTTTCTGAATATTAGAGCTGCGCGCCACGGAAAGCCTCCATTTTGAAAAACAATTCCCGTGCTCCTTTCCCACGCCTGACCAATGCTCCTTGCACGTGCAGTGACGACAACTCGACGATCGGCGACGTGACGCAGCACGCAGCTCATTGATTGGTCTAAACCACGTCTCAACAAACAGTTGTGAAGTCAATGACAGTTCCTGTTCCCACCCACTGCTACAATTGAGCTATTCAATTATACGAGTTGCGAAATCCCCACAGGCTCCATGCATCGAAATCGGGACACTTCACTGCCGCAGTTTTTGGGAGTGAGCAGATTGTCGCGCCACCTGTTGATTAGCACACCCACTATTAACCGCATTATTTGTGTTTTGTATTGCTGCTTCCAAATGGTGCGACAGTCCGCTTCCAAAAAATCTAACTTCCGAAAAATCGGGCCAACTTCATGTCCAGGATTTAAAGCACAGTTTAGCTGCAAATCGGTGTCGGCTGAAGATCGAGCGACTGGCCTGGGGAGGAGATTCGACACAAAGTAAACAGTAAACAACCAGGTATCGCAGCGAGCGGAAGTGCGTTGCGACTTTTCAAGTTCGCCGATGACGTCAATAGCTGATGTTTTGTCACATTGCCGAAGTGGGCGGAGTCACGACGACAGGCCACGCCTTCCTTTCCTTCTGAAGGAGAAGGGTGGCAAGGCCGCAGGAAAATTTGAAACCAGCTGGACGCGATGCTCTAGCCCCTGTAACTTCCTTAATATAGCACGTATTCGGAAAATTCTTGGGGCAGCATTTTCATGAAGTAAAAGTGCACATATTTTTCTTTACAACAATTTTTGGACCTTGGGGTTCTTCACTGGTCTTTTAATAATGGCACACAACACACGCAGCCTCACACAGGCAAAAGGGGTGTGATGGCAAAAAGATGTTTTGGATAGGGAAGTAAGTCCCGAGATGAAAATTATTACAGCTTCCACACTGCTTTTCTGTAAAACAAGCCATTATTTACTAATTAATTCAGCAAATAAAACTATGTTGACATAGCAAGCACTTCATTGTTTTTGCGAAACTCTAAATTTCAGTACAAGCTACTGGTTGCAGCATTTTAAATTTTATATACATACATAATTTTATTACATTGAGAGCAATGCACAGTTTTCTATATAGCACCTCTGTGGATCAGAGACAACACCTGCATAAGACCAGCAATAGTCATCAAGAATTACCAGGAGTCCAATACAGTGGTTGCCATTTACGATTTCCCGTTTTCCAATGTATTTGCTCAAATGCAATGTACGTGTGCAAAGAATATTTCTGACCAGCTGCCACATAGGAATTTTTTTGCAAAAGTACAGCACTGTACTACATCTATATCGAACGGCTATTCACTTCTACATTCGTTACAGCGCAAGCGCACTTCTTTTATTGGCTGTCAACGGCTTCTTGCTTCTTAAAAAATATTCACACCAACGAAATCAGCCTGCTTTCGACAATGTCAAACCACGCACTGAATCTGAATTGTCGTACAAGTTTGGAAAAAAAAAAATGAGCTACATGCATGTCTCACAATGCAAATGGCCCAAGCAACTACGATTTTATTTCCCTCTGAAATTTTCTTAAACAAGATTCACCACAAGACCACCAGGCAAGGCGGTGAAGCATAATAGCAGCAAGACCTAGCTTTGCATAGTGAAGCATACTACCTGAGGAGATGGTTATCGAATAACGACAGCCATGCGACTTCAAAAATACAAACAACCTTTCAGTCTAAATGGGGTTTCTACATAAAAGGAGAGGGTGATAAATGAGTAACAAGCATACTTTTATATATATGAGGTAGCTTTTCAGAAACAGATTGCTCAAGTTCTGCTTCTCACAATCTTAAGGACTAGCTGCAACGTAGAGTTTTACACTTTAAAGTAACTGCCGTGTTGAACTATTTCATGATCTCCTTTGAGTTTGATATATCCTGGTTTGGCTGCACATTGAAATAGACATTCTTGCAGTTATGTATCCAAGCATGGTGTAACAGACCAACAAATAAACTTGAATATTTAACCTGGTAACTGAACACACTCAGTTAAATTGGTGGCATGGTTTTCTTTCAGCTAATTTCACTATAAAAAATCTAAGTATTACCTATAATGCGAAAATGCATATATGAGAAAACTCACTTGGAGAGGCTCTACGAAATCCAACCAGTCAGATGCATGTGTTGGCAATAGGCCCATTGATGAACATTTATAAAGAGCTAAGGCCAAACATGCCAGGTTACCGAAAAGATACACTATCTTCTGAAGAATAGCTTGGCCTCCTTCAATAATCTTGAATGCTGCAGAGAGATAACCATGCATACAATAAGGTTCATAAAGAGTGTGCTATCTGTGGCAGTTTTAAACATATGTGAACGAACCCGCACATGCACACACAAGAGACCACCACCTAGCATGTGGATCAAGAATTGTCCTGGGGACCGATATAATACAGCTCAAAAGGTGAAACAATGGAATCTCATTGATATGATTCTACAGAATACGTTTTTCAACCCAATACACGTTTCATTTTATTTGCCGCCAACAATAGGAACCCCTCATTTTCGTGCATTTAATACGACACCATTTCCCCCGAACTTTGGTAATGCAACCAAAAAAGTGGATCTTCATCAACCAAAAAAGTGGATCTTCATCAATATATCTACATATCCTATGTTTATTCTTCGCTAGACCAGCCCACACTTCATTTCACCAAGCCATGATCTGCATGTTGCAGAGCTGCTGAATCCGCAGGAGCATCTGTTTCGTGGCGAAAAGATCACTGCCAGACACGGCCTCTATGTCCAATGACGACGATTTGCCAGCCAATGCAGGGCGCCATCTATTGAAACGCAATCATAATCAAGAAAGCAGGTGCTGACAACATCTTACAGTAAACTCCCATTAACCAAAACTCTATTAAATGAAACTTAAGCCTCTAATACAATTGCTTTCTCCCTTGAATTCTCTACACCTGTTTATCAATAAACAAAAGTACTTTTAAACAAAACACATTTTCGTGGTCCCTTCAGGTTTCGTTTAACAGGAGTTTACTCTACATTCCTTGTGCAATGAAGACTTTCAAATGTCCAACAACTAGCTTGACCGATTTAAGGCACGACATGAACTGCCGTGTCCAGCGAAGCGACAATTTACATTAGGTGTTGACAAAAAAAAAGAAGCGCCGGGCAAATTGACCAACTAAGTCAATGTTGCTCAATAAAAGGAAGTTGCTGACGGCATATACATGTGTTCTCTTTTTTTCTCCTCTTTGACTAACATAATTTTAGCGTAATATATTTCATTTTCCATGCTCGTTAAAGTAGTATCAATGAGATTACACTGTATTGACAACCATCCTAGCGTGCAAAATTCATCGCATCAATAACTCCTATACATAGAAACACAACCTAGAACATGTTTGCAAGAAAAAGAAAGCAGGGGGTGAGAGGGGTACCACAAAAGTAAATACAACCACTTTGGAACCTATAAATTCTTTATTGACAACAAGGCATATTATTGACCCCTACAAGCTTATCAAAAAAACAAAACACCTTAATTAGTTCCTGGTTCTTTAACTACAATGCATGCATGTTTGCATAGCCCCCAGCACACGAGTATACACTACTAAAATTACACCACCTCCACAATTCTAGCAAATATACATTATCATTGAGTTACACAACAGTTCCATTTCTCAGGCGTGAACATTCTTTCGAATAGTTTAACAGCTTACAGAGATTGCACTACTCAGTATTGACCACAAGTGTGACAACATGATGGGTCACCTGTTCATTTTGCATGCCTTTTCTATTTATATTTGCCTTTACAAACAGTATATAAGAAAAATGGTCAACTATACAATGGCAAAACATGTGTTAACACTATTAGCTCAAATGGGTTAACACAATTTGACAGCTCAAAATATCAAACATTAAAGGGACAGACGACAACTGGTCAGGACATGCGTCCATATCCCAGTAGAAATGAAAGGACTATGAAATAGTGTGATTGATTCCAGCATTTCTTTGAGGTTACAACAAGAATTTATATTTTTGAATCGTGCTTACAAGTAATAAAAGTAACAAAAACCATTATGTCGTGCAGCCTAGCGGATGAGCCTTGAAGCTGGATTATGGAACTATGCTGTATGTAGATGCATAGCCCAATGCTGCCATGCAGGCCAGTCCTTAACATTAGAGCATGTATATTATTATCCAGCATTACTATATTCTGTGCTGCTTAGAATGTTAAAGGATCTCCACAGTGAGAAGCGCACAGAGCTTCCATCACAGCCATTAGTAGACCAAGTCGAGCTGCCGCGCAGGCACACGAAGTGAATGCATGCACAGTAAACCACTGCGCTCGAGCACAAACCACTTTTGTGCATACTGTTTGCAGCATGTGAGCATATGAATTTACATTCGCTGCATATAGAAAAATTCTGATGTTTCGCGATATTCTGCACCTTACCATTCAACGATTAGACTCACTGACTGGAGAGCTTTCTGTACCGCAGAAAAAAATAGGCACCATAAGAATTGATTGTCGGGCTATTGATGCCTAAACACCATGCTCGTGGTATTGGATGTGAAACAAGTTACACGACGGAGATCACAGTCATGTGCATTTATCTCCTGCAAGCCAAACCGTATAAGAGTGATGGCCCAACTAATTTACAGAAAAGCAGCTCTCCAGTGCTGCTGACATGAGCATAGCTACTGTGCCCCAGAACAAGCTTGATGCATGTATTTATAATAACTTTTTTTTTTTTTGCGCAAGGGCCATTTGATGGCCAAAGAGCGCCAGTTCATGAGACAGGAATGTGGACGATGATTGTGATTAGCGGCTGTATAAGGGCCATAAAATTCCTCGCGGTAAGGCGGGTAAAAACATACTAGTAATAAAATCATGACCATGCCGTGAAAGGTGTGTGTGGTGCGAATAGATGAACAAAGTTGGTGATAATAAAAGACGATGGTGGATATGTATGGCATTAGCACAAGTACCTCACACCCTTGCGTCCAAGGGCCGTGAGGCAAGTGCTTTCCAGTGTAGCCACCGCAGCAGAAACCTCTCTGGAGAGGTTGTGCTACGGAATGCCCGGGTATATGATATGAAAATTATGAATTTCTTTTAAAAACGCTAACAATGATTTATTACTAAAAATCGGTTCCCTACCAACGAACATTGCAGGGTGTAGAGGTATATGTTGTCGGTAGGATAAAGGAAAGTGTTGTCTTCTTAGAGTGTCTAACTGTTTACATTGAATTAAAACGTGAAGAACTGTTAATGCCTCACCACATTTATCACACAATGGTGGATCACCACCGGACAAAAGATGTGTGTGTGTCGTGTATGTGTGTCCTATCCTGAGTCTTGTTAGTGTTACCTCTGTTAGACGTGATTTTGATACTGGTGGCCAATGGCCAAGGTGTGGCTTGATAACGTGTAGTTGTTTTGTGTGTGTGTATCCCACTTGCTCTGCCAGTAGTCCCTGAGGTTGCGTTTGAGAGACGGCTTAAGATCAAGGGCCGGGATTGATATGGATGTAATGGCGGTGCTCTCATGGACGGATGCAGCGAGCTGATCCGCCCTCACGTTGCCTTGGATCTCACGGTGCCCTGGCACCCAGCACACTACAACATGTTGTTTGAGTGTGTAGAGTGTGCACAAAATGGAGTGAAGTGAGACAAGGACTGGGTTTTTTTGTTTTTTAAGACTGTGCAGAGCCGTTACCACACTGAGGGAGTCTGTATAAATTACTGCTTTTTGTATTTGTAATTGTTTGATGTGTTTAGCTGCCACCAGTATCGCGTAAGCTTCCGCTGTGAAGATACTTGTGCGTGGATGTAGAAGGCCAGCATCTGAAAAGGATGGGCCAACAGCAGCGTAGGACACAGAGGAGTTAGACATAGAAGCATCTGTAAAGAACTCGGGACGTGTGTATTTGTGTTGAAGTTCCAGGAAGTATGTTCGGATATGGGGAATAGGCGCACGTTTTGTAACTTCTAGGAAAGACACATCGCAGTCTATAGTCTGCCACTGCCACGGGGGCGGGTATGCTACTGGAGCCATTAAACTGCGTTCAAGTGGCACTCCAGTTTCTTCAGCTAGACCCTTCAGCCGTACTGAGAATGGCTGCCTCACGGAAGGCCTGTTTCGAAACAGAATGTAGCTCGACAAATCATTAATAGTAGAGTATGAGGGGTGCTTCTTGTCTGCTTTAACCTTAAGAAAATAAACAAAAGACATATAAGTTCTCTGCAGATGAAGTGACCACTCATTTGACCCAACATAAAGGCTTTCTACGGGGCTGGTGCGAAAAGCACCCGTAGAAAGGCGGATGCCCAAATAGTGTACGGTGTCCAGCATCTTCAAGGCACTTTGAGTAGCAGACTGATAGACAACGGCCCCATAATCTAAGCGGGTGCGAATGAGGCTTCCATAGAGGTTCATGAGGCATTGCCTATCACTACCCCACGTAGTACGTGACAACACTTTTATAACATTCATGGCTTTTAAACATTTTGTTTTTAAATACTTGATGTGCGGTACGAAGGTCAACTTGTTGTCCAAGATTAAGCCTAAGAATTTATGCTCGGCTTTGATGGACAGACGTTGCCCGTTCAGTCGAATGTCAGGTTCCGAGTGCATGCCTCTCTTTCGAGAGAACAAGACACACATGCTTTTTTGTGGGTTAAGTCGAAATTCGTTTTCATCTGCCCATTTGGAGACATTATTTAAACCCAGCTGAACCTGCCGCTCACACATGGCCAAGTTGCATGACTTGAAGCCAAGCTGAACGTCGTCGACATATGTACAATAGAACATATTGCGGGGAATGGACAAGTGCAAAGAATTCATTTTGATAATAAAAAGTGTGCAACTAAGCACACCACCTTGTGGCACGCCTGTTTCCTGGACAAATGTTTGGGAGAGAACACTGCCCAGACGGACACGGAATGTCCGGTTTGACAGGTAACTTTCGATTATATGAAACATTCTTCCGCGCACACCAAGGTGGGACAGGTCTCTTAGAATTCCGAAACGCCATGTTGTATCATACGCCTTTTCGATATCGAGGAACACAGAGAGAAAATATTGCTTATGAACGAAGGCGTTTCTGATCTGTGCCTCGATACGAACAAGGTGGTCTGTGGTGGATCTACTTTCTCGGAACCCGCACTGAAATGGGTCGAGCAAATTGTTTGTTTCAAGGATATGTACAAGTCGGCAGTTTATCATTTTTTCGAATACTTTGCACAAGCAACTTGTAAGTGCAATAGGCCTATAACTTGAAGCTAAAGAAGGGTCCTTGCCCTCTTTCAAAATGGGAATAATAATAGCCTCTTTCCAGGAGGTAGGGATAGTGCCAGAAAACCAGATAGCATTGTACAAACAAAGTAAGGTTTTTCGTGTTTCGGCTGGTAGGTTTTTTAACATTTCATACACCACACGGTCAGAACCTGGGGCAGAAGTACTGCAGGAGTTTAGAGGTGCTCGGAGCTCAGCTAGACTGAAAGCTTGGTTATATGCTTCGTATCTAGTGGATTTGTGTTCGAATTTCTGCTTTTCTATTCTTGTTCTGTATTTTTGGAAAGTGTCAGTATAGTGGGACGAGCCGGATACCCGTTCAAAGTGTGCACCGAGGAAGTTTGCCTGACCTTCCAAGGTTTCACCCTGAGTGTTTACGAGTGGGAGTGAATGTACTTTTCTTCCTGCTACCCTACGAACCATGTTCCAGACTTTGGCCTCTTGTGTATACGAATTTATCCCTGATAAAAACTTGTGCCAACTTTCTCTTCTGGCCTGCCGACGCGTTCTCCTGCCTCGAGATTTTATTTTCTTAAAGCTCTCAAGGTTTTCCGCTGTCGGCGAGTTCTGCAGCAACCTCCATGCCCTGTTCTGTTCCTTTCGCGCATTACGACAGTCTGTGTTCCACCATGGGACGTGTCGTTTGCCGGGCATTCCAGACGTTTGCGGTATGCACTTGGCTGCTGCGTCAGTTAGAAAAGCTGTGAAATACTGCACAGCTTCATCTATGTTTAACCTACATATGTCTGTCCAACTCAAATGTGTAGTGTTATGGAACTGTTCCCAGTCTTCTTTGTTTATCAGCCATTTGGGAACGTGTAGAGGACTTTCATATGTTGTTTGTGAACTCAACACAACAGGAAAATGGTCACTACCATATAGATTATTTATGATTTTCCATTTGAGTAGGGGTAGGAGTGAAGGTGATACGATGCTGAGGTCGATAGACGAGTAAGTTTTGTTGGCAACATTATAGTATGTTGGCTCTTTCCTATTTAACAAACAGGCACCGGAAGAGAAGAGAAATTGTTCAATGAGACGACCTCGTGCATCACAGCGAGAATCGCCCCACAGTCCACTATGTGCATTTAGATCCCCAAGAAGCAAATAAGGTTCTGGCAGTTCGTCTGTTAAAGACCGAAATTGACGTCTTTCAAGACGGTGGTGGGAAGGTACATACAAAGAGCAGATGGTGACGAGTTTGTTTAACAGTACCGCTCGAACAGCCACCGCCTCAAGAGATGTCTGGAGTGGTAAATGTGTACACGCTACTCCTTGGTTAATAATAATGGCTACGCCACCGGATGACGCCACAGCATCATCTCGGTCCTTTCGGTATATGACGTAAGCACGTAAAAAATTTGTATTGGAGGATTTTAGGTGTGTTTCCTGTACACACAGCACTTGAGGTGAATATTTGTATAAAAGCTCTTGTACGTCGTCGAGGTTCTTAAGCAGTCCTCCGACGTTCCAATGTATAATTTGTGTGTCCATATTGGAAGTAAAGTAGTGCTGTGTGTACGTTAAGCGAGTGACTTGTTTAAGCTGGAAGGTCGAGCTCAAGTACCAGGGCCATTGTCAGGCCCCGTTATGAGCTTTTTAGTTCTCTTGGCGCGCTCCAGAGAGCCGCGCCGTTCTTTTGGCACCAGGGGTGCCGCCGTATCCATTGCCTCCTCGGAGGCACTGGATGCCCGCTCATGCGAGCTGGTTTTTCGAAGCTTGGGCCTCGCCTGGCGAGGCGAGGCCTTGAGACCCGAGGACCCTGGAGTCTCTGGTCTCTGTTCAATAGTAGGCGGAGTAGACACAACTACTGCCGCCTTGGGGGCAGGCGCCACAGCCAATGGCTCGCTCTGCGCAGGCCGAAGGAGTGGCGAGGGCTGGTGCGACACTGCCCCCTGGCGCGCCGCATCAGCATATGTGGGGCCATAAAATGGCGAGACTCTTTTTCTTGCTTCTTTAAATGTAATGTTTTCTTTTATCTTTAAAGTGATGATCTCTTTTTCTTTTTTCCAGAAAGAACATGAACGTGAGTACGCGGCATGATTTCCGCCACAGTTCACACAGTGTGATGGTTCTTCGCAATTGTCAGAATTGTGGCCCGACACTCCGCATTGTGCACAAGTTTGGTGACCACGACAGCTTTGTGAGCCGTGGCCATACTTCTGGCATTTAAAACAACGACGCGGGTTAGGTATGTATGGTCTGATCGACGTCTTTGTGTACCCTGTTTGAATACTTTCTGGCAGATTACTGGAAGCGAACGTGAGTGAGTATCAGGTGTTTCGTTGGTGTTACCTTGTTGTCTCTTCTAATGGTGATCCTTTGTACATTGGTCACATTCTGACTCTTCCACCCCTCCAGAAGTTCCTCTTCAGTCAAGCCGAGCAAATCAGCATCAGATACTACTCCACGGGTTGTGTTCATCGATCTGTGTGGCGTTACAGTGATGGGAGTGTCACCAAATGTTGATAGATTCTGTAGCTTTTCAAACTGTTCTTTTTCTCGAACTTCAAGGAGGAGGTCTCCGCTGGCCATTTTGGTAACTTTGTACCCGGCTCCAAGAGTTTCTGTGAGACATCTGGCTACTGCAAAGGGTGATACGGTTCTGGCTTGCTTGCTGCTTATCTCACTATGTATAACATGAAAATGGGGGAAGTTTTCACTTGATCGGTTGAAAAAGCCTAAGTCTTCGGTGCGTACACGCTTTAAGGCGGTACGATCACTTAATAAGGGAAATGCTCTATGCATGCCAGTTTAATTTTCTTCAGAAGCGTTGGCGGCCACCCACCACGGAGCCCAACGAGGGGACGCTACAAGTTTGTGGATGCTAAAACCTGCAGACGCCAGCAGTACAACGCAACTATAACCCAATGCGCCTAGACCAAGGTAGGCTATTTGCACAGGGTTAACCCTAACCGCCAGGAAGTTTGGAAGTAAACGGAAGAGAGTAGAAGACAGGACAGATAAATAGTAAAAGATAAAGACGAAGATGTAGGGAGAGGGAAATAGGAAAAGGCGACTGCCGATTTCCCCTGGGTGGGTCAGCCCAGGGGTGCCGTCTACGTGAAGCCGGGGCCAAAGGGGTGTGTTGCCTCTGCCGGGGGGCCTTAACGGTCCAATCACCCAGCGTCGGCTCAACCCCCAGGATCCCCTTTTCCCCGGACACGGCAAAGCCACGCACGGCTAGGCGTGGGAGGGAGTAGAAACTCCCCCGTTAGCTCGGGTCCGTGGTGTCGCTACACACCAAACGCCTACTTGCGCAGGCGCCCCTGCGGGGTATTTATAATAACTTATAGTGAACTGCTTTGTTTTTCATAGCAAGATTAAATATGTTTGATAGGCCTTGAATTAAATTTTTTTTCTCCCCTTATGTGCTGGAAAATTGTACCATTGATTTATTTTGTGTATGTGATGCTTGCGTGTAAGATCAGGTTGCTCATGCACAAGCTGCTTCCGAAATGACACTGAACTTGTAATGCCCGTTCCTTAAATTCCACAGTGCACATTCATCCTCAATGGCACCAATGCAGCATTCATTGAACATGCTCCTTTCATTGCCATTCACCATGATTACACTGCGGTGCACACCAGTCCATGCACACATCTTTGCAAGCACACATGTGCAATGACGGATGGTACTTCATTGATGTGTATTGTGTAACTGCTTCGTGCTATTGCCTAGTCACTCGTAGGAATTCTAGGCTAAAAACAACGAATTTTAGATTTGCAAAACCGAGTGATTGAGGGAAAATGACCAAGTGTTCCACCGTGCCAAGGCCCCTTGTCTTGCTCGTCACTCCATTTGTCGTTTTCATTTCGAAATTTACGTACGCGAGGCTTAAACTTGAAGCTGCCTACAGAACATTTTTTCATAATACCTCAAAGGTCTCACATGGGACATTATATAAGGGGTGGGCAAACAAACAAAACAAAAAAAACCCAGCAGGTCAGGTTACACACCATTACTTGAAAGATGGTTACACACCATTACTTGAAAGATGGTTACACACCATTACTTGAAAGATGGCATTGAATTGAGCAATGTCGATGATGAGGGCGATATCTGAAGGAAGGGAATTCCATTCTCCAGCAGTATGCAGGAAAAATGAATGTAGATGGGTGGGTGATGGGTGAACAACAGTCATCACTAAGGGAATATGCCCACAAGGATGTGGTTACAATTTTTCCACGAGCTAGAATGGGAGAGGAGCTGTTATAGCAGCAGCATAGCATCCGTGAAATGTTGTCCATGCAACATTTTACGACTTTTGTTATGAAATGAGGTATTACATAGGCACATTTATATTATCAGGCTGTCTGAAAAGAAAAAGATCATATCAGCATGCATAAATAGGAGAAAAACTAGTGGGAATTACTTACTTGACTGAATTGTTAAAAGCGCTTTGACAGGTCTCAAGAACAACATTCCCACCATCATGATCGGGAAGATTGAGATAGAATTTCCAGCCATGTACATAATGAAAAGGTTCATAGGCACCTGCTTCCATGGAGCCAAAGCTACATCCCAGGATTTCTGTATGGCACAAAAACATTCATCAACACAAACGTAAACCTAAGTAACAGAAATAAAGTAACAGCAGATAAAATGTGAACTCAGCGGCCAGTGCATAAGAAAACCTTGACGAATGCCATAAAGCTGTAGCTGTAGCTGTACCGAGGCGCGCTTGCGCGCGCACACACGCGCACACACGCACGCACGCGCACACACGCACGCACACGCACACGCACGCACGCGCACACACGCGCACGCACGCACGCGCACGCACGCACGCGCACACACGCACACGCACACACACACACACACAGAGTTCTGCTGGCTCTTGTAGTGGTCTGGCAACAATACACTTTACTGGATGTTATGAATATGCTACGAAACACATTTTAGAACAGTTAAGCTTTTTGGAATTTAATTAAGCTTTGCTTTGCACCGATTCTAATCTGTGCATTATATATGTAAGGCATTTTTAGAGTAGTAAAGGTAAAACACATAAGTAGCCAAGTCACACATTGCACACAGCATGCATGGAGAATACTTATACAATATGAAAACACATTCAGATGGAATATAAAAACACATTCAGATCCTTGACATCACACTGGCATATTAGCGCTGTAGTTGTGCGAAATTTAAAGAATGAAGTTTGGCCCTCATTTCCTGTTCTAGTAGTGAGCTGGTTATTGTAAAACTAACCAAATAGTAATGTAAAAACATATCTACTTTAAAGGAGCACCGACACAAAATTTTGAAGGCGAGATAATGAGAGAGATAGGGTTATGTGGAGACATACACAACATTTACGAGAAATCGAGGGCAAATATAGCCTAGAAAATATTCAAAATCAATTTTAAAGTGCACGCTGCATGACTAAGCGCAATGCGAAGTCCCTCACGATGCAGACAATGCAGGGGCAATGTAAATAACCCGATGTTAGGAGTTTGTGTTGGCTGGTTGCTGGCATGCGCCTTGCAGTTGTGCTACTTCCATTTTTTTCCTCCGTGCCTGCGGCTTCGCGTGTGCTGGCTGTCAGTGAAGCGCCCGCTTGTGCACGCGGCGCCATCCTTACAGTTTCAACAGATAGTGTTAAGGAGCTCCCTTCGCAGAAATTCCGGGGGCCTGTGTCGATGTTGTTGGCTGTGAGTGAAAAATCGTTATCTTGTGCGCGACCGAAACATTAGGCAGGATGCAAACAAAATAAGTAAGAATAAATTCTGGGTCTCAGTGGGGATCGAACCTGGGTGGTTTGAGTGACAAGTGGCTGTTCTACCACACAGCTACACGTCTGCTAGCGAATACAGTGAAAATAACTTTTTTCTCCCTGGAAATGCAGTGCAAGTAACATTCATGCTTTACAAACACACATGTCCTGTACACATGCTTCATAATACTACATGAAACAAAGCATGAAAAAAACTCCCAAGCATTTCCCCGAGGGTGAACATGGTTAAGTGCGAATGCACGGGGTGATGCTATGAGGGGGAGTAAAGTTAAAATCCGTTGGCGACGCTGATATCGGTGTCAGTAACGCGCCTTATATCCAGATGGTAGCGTTGCCTCTGGGACATCCATCGCACGACCCGCTCTCGACGGGAGACTGAGAGAGAAGGCGGGCGCGCGAGAGAGAGGGGTGTGCGCGCAGCTGCAGCGAGTGAGGAGAGCGGAGGAGCGAGCGAAGGGGGAGGGGGACTATCAGCGTCGCGTCCGTGGCTTATTCGGTAGAGAGTCGCACTGCGGCCCGCCAATTCCCCTTTCTTTTAAAGATAGAGAGAAGACTGCGGACACCGCTGACGGCGGTGGATGGTTTGGGGTCGCTTATAAAGTGTATTCACACTTAAAAGCTGCATAATTTCTTCATTAGACAAGTAAAATGTCAGTTTTGAGCTTTGTCTTTCACATGTAGTAGTTTTATTTATTCCCCCCCCCCCCCCCCCCCTGGACTGTATGTACACATATTGTTCTTTCGGTGACTATGTGTAAGAATGATGTATGCTTTTTTGTGCTTCTATTTATGTACGCTAGTTTTTGTATGCTGTCACTGCTTGCCGAACTGTAACCAGCTGGGAAGCCTAATCAAGCTCACAAGAGCCTTTTTTTCCAATGCCCTTCATTTGCTAAGTGGAAAATAAAACGATTGATTGATTGAAATATTGCAGTAATAATGCGTGTTAAAAGCGTACATTGGAATCGGGTGTCACGACGTGATTATCATAATGAATTCATAGTTTAAAGCCTATCACCTACTATAAAAGGCACATACATCACTGCACTTATTCCCTTGAGGCCACGTAGTGGGTGCATAGCAAGTGCGAAAAGATTTTATGCATTAAGTGTTTTGAAGTACGCAGTAGGGGCAGGTTATCGCTAATGCATTCAACTCTTAAAGGCAAAGCTTGAGGGTCCCCCCAATTATTTGCGTGATCATGTAACCAGCTGTGTTCCCCTTGCCCCCGTATGCTCCCACCTAACAATACTCTTTAAAACCGGAACCGAGACTGGGCACTTTCAGAACGTCTCCAAATAAAAAACCATTGCACACTCGCAGAAACGACGTTTCACGCCATGATAAGTGGTCATATAGTACCTACCTATTGAAAAAGGAAAACAAAACAAACAAAAAAGATGCCGCAAAATTTTTGTGCCAATGCTCATGGTGTCCCATTAGCACCAGCAGTTTGAATCCCCAACTACTGCCTCAATGCGCATGACCATTGAGTAGTATGAATTCTTATGCTTTCGATTTTGCACTTTTTGTAAATATTTAGAAGACACACTTGAGCATAATTCAAGATGATATAATTTTTTATTTTTTGTTATACTACTGGGAAAATCAAACGATTCCACCACATGCCACTCCTTCAGTAACCATTAAGAATCACTGAGCCGGTCACATGAAGGTAAATGAATTCGTTGCCATGGAGACTGCATTCATGCTGGCAGAATGCTGAGATGCAGTACATGTTGAAGGGGCTTCAATGAGCAAAACTTTTTACACAGCCCTCCACTACTGAGACATTACAACTGGGAAAGTATTGCTTTATGAATTATTAATCAAATGAAATTGCAATATAAGATTTTAACACTTCTATGTGCTATAACGAAATGATTCAGAGTAACATAACGAAATACTCTGGATCATTGACCCTTTGGGGTTCTATGACATGTCTCAAAATGTAAATACATGGGTGCTCTTGAATTTTGCCCCCATCGCAACATTCGAATTGGTGAGGAACCTAACTTGTGTCACTAAGCTTAGCATCACAGCACTCCAGCTGTGCTAAGCCTCCATGGGATAATCAGCCAATGATACGAATTTTACGTCAAGTGACCTGTACACAGCCATGCACGACACACTTTCCATTGCATCAAAGTTAAGCTGGTCCTCTTGGTAGTAACGTCACTCTAGTTTAGAGGAGTTTCAGTGCATTAAAAATGAAGGTGTGTGCATACGAGATGTTCATGCCATCCAGATTCACTACACGATGAAGTGGCAGATATTATCATGAAAAGACATTTTACCTTCACAATAAGGTTTGCTTCTGTCTCACGACTAGCTTCACTGTGCCCTTGTCCAAGGGATGAACTAAATCCCGGAGGTGAAGCCAGCTCCGTCACTTTATCAGCTCGTCTGCAGGTCGAAACAGAAACACAGCGCTAATGTCAATAACTTTCGTTTATGAAAAAAACAACTTTCCAGTGTAACCCACGAAATGTACAAGAGAAGAAGCTAAGCACCAGTCATATTTGAGGCTATGTAGAAAGGCTACACACTGGATTATTTTATTACGGCAACATCCACGTGCTCAATACGATTTTCACGATGCGGTTCGAGCAGTAATCATTCGTGAACACATTGCGCTGCACCATATTTGCGAGTTGGAAGCGATAACACAGTTCACCAACCTGACCTACACGGCTCGGACAATTCATGAAACAACGTTGCGGCACTGCCGACAGAGCATGAAGACATGAAGATTCTCAAAGCCCAGGCATACGCGCTGATACACGAGGTGAAATCATGGTAGCATTTTCCTCAGGAACGCACCGGGACGTTTTACACCTGTGCTAAGAACAAACGAACAACAGGCGTAGACGGCCATGAAGAACAAGCCTTCTAGGTCTTACAATTTCAAGAAAGAAAAGTGATGTTTGCCTAAATCTGTCATCATGAAACTATTTCGCAACGTCACCAGTGAGCACAACTCGGCTGCACCTGTGTGGCGAGAAAGAAACGGTGCAGCACAACGGGAGTTGGTTGAAATAAATACGCTGAATAGACTTTCACATTGTCCTCACAAAAAGCCATCGTAGGCGGCAACACACTCGTACTTACCTCTGAGAAAAAGCAAAGGACCATTTATGCCGCTTTGACGGAGCTCTGCTTCCTAAAGTTGTAGCCATTTTATACTGATCCCAACGTTGTGAGCCAACAATTTTTATACTGCGCTAAATGTTCGAACGTTTGACTTTTCAAATACACTTTATTTTACTTACAACTAGTTTGTTGTAACAAAAAATACCTAAATTTATTATTTTAAACGTAAGTTTTTACCAATAATATTGCTTTTTTTTTTCAAAGCAAAAACAGAGAGGTGATTTGTTATGGCGCAAGGGGAAAGAAGAGAGAGAGAGGCAAAAAAGCGTGTTCTTTTTTTTTTTTTTTGACACGCGCACGATGCGTTTGCGCGGGATTTAGAATATTGTCAAGCGTCAAGTTTAAATGTTAAATATTTTAAGCTGTGAGCAAGCGCCTATGACGTTCACTTTCATGACCTTTTTTTTTGTTGGGGGGGGGGGGGGGGCGCTAAACTTATACCGTAATTGTTTTTTTTTTTGTGTGTGTAAAAGAGTATCAGTTTCGTTTTTGAAATGGTTTAGAGCACAATAATGACATCTGCACGAATGGTCTTGAACCTAAGCTTACAGATGTGAATACGCCGCAATGACCCTTTTTCTTATAAATCTAATATACAGGCACTAGCTATTACCACCCAAAGTTACTCAATTAAACGAGTTGGGAAACTGAGTTCAAAATTCGGACACGCAGTTATGGTGGCTAACGCAGTTAGCAAAATTTTTCGGAAGTCAGCTGACATTCGCGTCACCTGGGAGCGGCAACACAAAACACAAATAATGGGTTTAAGGTGGCTGTCAAGGTCAACAGGTGGCAAAACAATCTGCTCACTCCTCTAGGGTCACTCGCTGTTCTCCTCCAGAACAGGGTAGAAACACTACTTTCATGGAAGCCATATTGGTTCAAATGTTCGCGTTTGCTAGCATTTCATTGATTGATTTGTGGGGTTTAACGTCGCAAAATCACATTATGATTATGAGAGACGCCGTAGTGGAGGACTCCGGAAATTTGGCTCTGGAGCCCTCCACTACGCCACTAGACCACCGCAGCAGAGCAGAGGTTGGTAAGAGAAGTGAGAGTGATAAGGAGAGATGTGATGATGAGAATGAGGGAAAGAAGGAGGGATATGGAAACTTTTGATGATGGTGATATCTTAACGTCCCAAAAGCACGAGATGATTACAAGAGACGCCGTAGTGGAGGGCTCCGAAAATTTCGACCACCTGAGGTTCATTAACGTGTACCCAAATCTGAGCACACGGGCCTACAACATTTCTGCCTGCATCGAAAATGCAGCCGCCGCAACCGGGATTCGATCCCATCACCTGCGGGTCAGCAGCCGAGTTAAGCTTAGCCACTAGACCACCACGGCAGGGCTGTTCTACCACGTCTTCAATGTCGTTACTTGTCGACACGATTTGTTCTCCACATGCTGTGACAACCTTAGTGTGAATCAAATACCCTTATTTCCTCTTCAGAATGATTTTTAGTACCGCATTCTCAAACCAACCGCATCCCAATTTTCCTGATTATTCTTGTGTCCTTAGTGAGCGTTAAATAAAGAAAAAGCGAGCAGGGCAAGAGATAACTCGGGTAGGTTTGTGAATGTTGCCTTCATATTTGTTTATGCAGCTCATTAGGGTGACAGAAATGATAGGCAACCAGAGGGATAAAGATAAGGTTGAATTGTGAATACGGGCCTAAGTCTTTTAGCTGCCTGCATCCCGTTTCCCTCAGTTGTGTAGAAATTTGAATGAAGTGATTTGCTGGTCGAATGACAAAAATCATACTCCAAGACATGCAGTGTCATCTGCAGGTCGTGAATTGGTATGTCATGCTTCCTGATTGATTGATTTGTGGGGTTTAACATCCCAAAACCACCATATGATTATGAGGGACGCCGTAGTGGAGGGCTCCGGGAATTTTGACCACCTGGGGTTCTTTAACGTGCGCCCAAATCTGAGCACACGGGCCTACAACATTTCCGCCTCCATCGAAAATACAGCCGCCGCAGCCGGGATTCGATCCCGCGACCTGCGCGGGTCAGCAGCCGAGTACCTTAGCCACTAGACCACCGCGGCGGGGCTACGTCATGCTTCCTGCTATTATTTATAACTCCGATGAGTTTGTCCTAGTATCCGTGCGAAAAATTCCAGGGCCGTTCAGACGTCTTGCGACATAACGAGAGCCGTTAGTAACAATAAGTTTTATTATTGAAGTTACTTTTGCAATATCAAGTTGCCTTCACAGTGTCTGCAACATTTTATTTATTCATTCACTAACATCGTGTACTCGAATGAACACAAAGTTTCAGTGAAAACTTTAGTTTAAGACACCAAAAGTTGCGATAAATAGAAGCACCATTAATATATTATAGTAAGGCGACATTTCTTTAACCGAAGCTTCCATATAGCTTAACGACGACGACTATGACAAGATTCCTCGTACTGAGTACGTGCTGTAAACGTGGATCGCCATAACCAGCATTTAAAATTGAGCTGATGTGTCTCGAAGAGGGAAACGAAGACTTTTTCTGTGCTAAGCCAAACAAAGGCGCGCTGGTGGGAGGCGATACGTGGATATTGGCGAAGGGTCCCCACACGCACTGAAGGGGCCGTGTTGTAAAATTTGTGACGCCGCCAACGGCAGAATTGAGGCGGCAGAGCTGACGAACCTAGATCTCTCTCAATGCCAGGGAAACAGCCCCTACTTTTTAACACGTGGAGCATGTTATACTAGGGGCTAGTCATGCACCGTCGCCGTCCGCAGCCTCCCCTCCTCCTCCGCCAGCCATCTGTGCATCCCTTCCTCCTCTCAATACAGCACGCGCTGCGCTCACTTCTCCCCCTCCGCACGCAGCGCGACCTTTAGTTTTACGTGCGCCAGCTGTATGCTAACGCACGCATGCGCACGCCGGGGTTGGGCGCGTTTTGAGCTCGCGTGCCGCCGTGGAGAAGTACGTCGATGAAGTCGTGGAAGAATACCTGAAACAAAGACCGCAACGACGACCCTTCGTGATAGTTGGCGACTTCAACGTCGACGTTATCAAGGACGATTGGGTGGTCGACTACATGGAGTCGTGGCACTCGCTGAAACGGGCAACGTACGACGGCAAACATCATCCGACCACGGTTCGCGGGACGTGCATCGACCACGTCTTTGCAAATTTCGACCTTCGACCGCTGCAACTAGACCCACGCACCCTTCACTTTACGGACCATAAAGCCATCTTGCTCAAAATACCCAAAGCGTCTCATCAATAAACATCGTCTTTCGCAGCATACGTGCGTGCGTGTTCACTCGTGTTCACTCATAACACACACGCATGTCGCAAATTACAAACCACATTTATCGCAGTTCAACATATATGCTCCGCATGCTAACCAGTGTTCCCACTCGGGAAACTGCGGTCATTTTTTGGTGTTCTTTTGGTATTGATTAGTTATAACGTGAACTTCTGCGCGGCCTCTATGATACACACTTCGCTGTTTCATGAGTCTTGAGTCAAAGCCATTGTTAACGATGTGCAAATAACACATCAACCTTCTGAGAAAAACTGATGGTGCATATAAAATAAAGATGTACTTTCGTCTGAACTTACTGGAATTCATTGGTGATTTAGTTTATATGGCAGACTTGCATTTTTGATCTACTGAAACGTACCTTATTGACAATACTATGCTGCACTTAATAAATATGTATTTGGAACATCAGCCTCCACGAAACTAAAATATATTTAGGTATCTCTATATACTCTTGCATCTATATATATATTTGTATTCCGGCATACGTTTCTCGCTTTTGTAGAAAAGCGTTTTCGATACACCCCAATCATTTGCCAAGTGATATCTGTACCTGTATAATAGGCTTCCAGCACATGTATTTCGATATATGTATCCCGGAATACTTTTGTGTATCTCTGCCCAGTTCTATGGTACATACATAGCATAACAATACCTGTCAGAACCCTCATAATCCGTTGTACAAAAATACAATATTCGAAATACGTATTGGTTTGCTAAGTCAAGTAAGTCATAATAAAGAGAAAACTAAAGTAACACACACGTGCAATAAACGCAGTATATTTCCAATTCGCTCAGACAAACCTAATTAAGTACTTCCTAGCAGTAATGCAAACACAAAATAGCTTGTTATATGCAACGTAAATAATCAATTAACAATATGAGATACACCTGTTTAGAAATATGATATGAAAGACAGGTCATAGCCAATATTCTTCGTAGAACAGAGTACCAGCGTAAGAAAACGAAAAAGAACATATAACACATCCAGAATAACAGCATCCGAAAATGCGATGTGGCAGCAGACTCGTGGATTAACCAGCGTTTAGTACTCTTATTATTTTTCAATCCATATTTACGATACTTATTTGCACGTTTATGGGGGCGATATTGCTTTTTTCGCGCCTATATAGTAACGAATTGAACTCAGTATACTCGTCCTATATACGTAAATTGCGTACTCTCGAATCATAGATTCGAATAAATAACGTTAGACGTTCAGAAAATTGTAATTCACGAGCATCATCTACATGTCTCTTCTGATAGTTCCCTTCTTAAGGTTACCGAAGGCTCGCACCGCCAGGTCAACGAGATACTTCACAAGCAGCCGGTGGTGGTGACTGCGCCTGTGGTGAGCCCTCGGTTGGATCCACGATGTGTGAACCGGTGCTGTTGATGGCCCCCGCGCAATGGTTGACAATGGTCATGTAAGCCTGGTTCAAAGTGGTCCACAGTGACCAATGCAACCGGAACTAGCAGCGTCGGATAGAAGCTGCGGTGGCGATGACGACCGTGCGTCTCTCTGCGAGATGGCCTCCGTTAACGATGCTTGCGCGGTGTTGTAGTGTCGACAAGTGACTCCAGACGACCCGTGCCCGTCGTTGAGCAAGACGCGACGGTCCCCGGCACGACCCGCGCCACGAAGCAGTGAGACCCTCTTGGGTCTGTCATCGCTGGAAGCTGTCGGGAAATCCCGCCTCATGTGGCCCTCCTGACCACACTTGAAGCAGCCTCTCCGAATAGAGCGGCCACCACCACCAAGGGAAGGGTCACCACTCGGGACAGTCAAAAGCTGCTGTAGCCTCACCAAAAGCTCG